GTTTGTCCTTTGGTTTAATAAAGTCATCTGTCACTTAGAGCTGTAGTTTGTGGAAGGAGCTGCTTTAACATTCAGTGAACTCCGAGAGTCAGGGCTGAGCCTCTGACGGCTTTTTTAGCAGATTCATCAGCATTTAGGCTTCAAATGTCGTGAAACACTTGAAGGAAATTGCCAAAAGTTAGCTAGAGCTTCAGAGTTTCATTGAATCAAGTGTTTCACGACATTTGGAGCCTAAATGCAGAGCATGTTTCCTTGGGACATAGCTACTGAAAGCAAATTGACCGGGTGCCTTGGTGGTAACAGAGAGGAATGCTCCAGGTACGAGTTTTTTCATTTTCCAGTTGTGATCTACTTAGCCTGCCCTAGGTTAATGTATTTATAGAAGTAGTCTGGTAGATCTGAGGTGGTAACAGGGATGCTCTGGAAATGCAAAGCGGCTTACCTGGCACTCTGGAAAGGCTGTCTGTTTTCTCCATTGCTGAGACAGTTGTACTTTGGATGAAACTTCGTCCATGGTGGAGCATGATTATCTGAGAAAAATGGCCTTGGCAGAAGGGGCAAGAACTTTCTTCTCCTGAAAGAAACACCAGCTGGTGAAAGTGCAGTGCAGTTTCCCAACTTGTAAGAGTCCTGTGAATTTTTCCTGCGTTTGGAAGTTAGAGTTCTCTTGCTTCACTGACATGCTGTGAATATGTACTTTTTGTGAGGACCTTTAGGGCATTACAAGCAGGTTCCGTAACTGGATGGGTAGCTACTTGTCTGCTTGTATGTAGAGACAAGCAATGATGAAATAAATGATTTGTGATTTTGGTGCCTTAAACTTTGCTCTTAAGGGCAAGACTTTCAAATCATACTGTGACTTATGCAGGCATCGTAGCCGTTTTAGGGGCATAGAGCAATTCCTTAATGAGCACAGAGAGGTACCTCTGAGGTCTCAGAAGAGTGAGCTGAATGCGCTTACCCGAGCGCCCTGTGATCAACTGCTGCTGCCGCAGCTTCGGAGCTGCTCCCTCCAGGCTCATCCGGGCAGCCGCTCCCAGGCCTGCTCATCGCTGCACTAACAACCAGTTGGGTACGTTGCACTTGCCAATAATCCCTAAATCTAGGGAATTCTGGTTGCCCTGGCTTTTCCTTTTTTCTTTTTTTTTTTTGAGTAGCTTTTAAAATATCCTGATTATTTATTTTTGTTATTGTTATTATTTTATTCTTTCACATATTCCTACAGCAATCTTACTTTCTTAGCTGAATTTCTTTGGTTATGGAAATGTGGCAGTCATGCTCTAAACTCCTGCTTCAAATGGTCCTTTCCTCAGAACGTTGAGAAGTACAAAGGGGAAATAGCCTTAACCTTTCATCTTTGTTTCTTATTTGTTTTGAATGCCTTATGAGCATTCACAAATGTGCTATAAGCACATTAAATAATTTGATTAGTATTCATTGCATGTGATGTTCTTATTCTCAATATCAAAGTTATATGAAAGTTTTATTTATGTCTCTTTATACATTAATCTTATGTTTGTTGTATTTTTGTGGACCAGCCTAAGGTATATGTTGCAGCTGGAACAGAAAGGATGGGATTAAAGTATTGCTTTAATCTAGAGGGCCTGCATCTCAAGTTCAGTTGTCACCAGGAAGCACTCTGACTCTTGCCCTCATTGGAAATCAGTTTTGTTTTCACCAACCTATTTTCCCAGCCTAAAACTGTAGGATTGTGGTTTTTTTCCAGTTGTCCTCAATCCAGACACTGAATTGTATTAAGTAAAAAGATCAAGTTTCTCAATGTGGCTCACTTATTAGAAAGTTTAAGAGTCTGTGAAGAATGTTTACTGTGTGGATAATGACATATTATTGAATTTGTTAATACTGTTTCGAGTAAACATTGCTCATTTGTCCGATGTGAGTTATGATCCATCAGCTGCTGTTATTCTGTGGTAACTCTATAGATGTGTCTCCACTGTTAAGACACCCATTTTCAGGAAAACATCAAACTTTCAAGGTCTAACATATACTAGATCGTGGGAAAATTCATCTGAAAAGTTCTGGGAGGGGAGCGGATAACAAAATGGGAAACAGGCACAATGATTAGGGTGATTAGGGTTTTCCTGATGATGAGATTGCTGGCAGGCTTGACTCAATTGTGACAGTTCATAGATGTGGATTTCATGTCCTGTGAGAAAAAAATCACTTTGACATGCCCTTTTCTTAACTCATAGCCTGCTCTTAGCTTGGACTGTTTTATTAGGTTTTATTACATCTTGCTGTATTAAAGTTTGGTTCTTAAACCTGACTCTCATCTCTTTCAAACACTGTCAAGCTGTCAAGGTCAATATTTAGCGGTGAGCTTTTGTCTGTCACAAAGTCAGTCTGAAGTAGGTATGCACTCTCTCACCCATGATGTTTTAGGGAATCTGTATAGAGTTTATTGATTATGTGTAATGCTGAAGCTCACAATGCCTGGAAGTTGCAGAAGCGCAAGACCTCTTTGCAGGGTAGAAAAACTGAATGTTTTATGAAGGAAGAACACGAAACAACATGGGTTTCTGTGGTTAAGTTATTTCTGGAGGGAGAGCTGTGTCTCCTTCACCACTTCTAGCCTCACCTTCCTCCAAATGGTAAGTCGTCTTACCTTCCCTGTGATCCTATCAGCCAGTGTTGCCATCTCTGTTCTCTGGGAATCGTCCTCTTACCCTTTACTCACAAAAGCAGCAGGTCCGGCCTGCTCAGTTTTTCTTTATGGGAAGCTAGAAATGAGGGTTCCTTGCTGGGAAGCAAGGGGAAAGAGCACGTGCAAGTCCTGCTTGTATCCAAAGTCAGAGTCCTGCTGGATTCTTTCCAGTCTTAAAGTCTTTTTTTTTTTTTTTTTTTTTTTTTTTTTTTTTTTTTTAGAACAACAACACAAAATCGTGTTTTTTTTTTTAAGACCAGGACAGCAAGATGCAGTTTTGTGTAATTGGCTGAGGAGCTTTCAACCAGATCTGCACGTTTACATATGGGGCAGTTCAGGAGTAAGCACTGTGCTGCCAGGCTTAGTTGTCCTCCATGGGTGCTCACTCTCCTAAGGAGAAATCCCAACATATCGGTCTCTTTCTGTAAATATAAACAAACAATCCCCTCTCCTGCACTAGAAAGGAGAGCTGTCCTTATACAGAGTAAAAACAGACACTGTAAAACTAAGATGTAAAAAGGTAGGTTTTTTTAAAGCAGAGAGATTCTCTCCTCTACAATGAAGATAGCAGAAAAAATATTTTAATACTCGTATAAATAAGAGTAATGAAGAAGAACAAAAAGGAGTATCCTCTAATAAAACACTAACTGCCCACAAAAACTTGTGTTAAATGTTGCAAAAGGAGAAGATTTAAAGAGCAATTCCAAATGAGTGTTCTTGGACTAGTAAGTGCTAGAACACACATGATTTGTTTACTCTAAAGGGACACACTGGAATTGTTTCAGGAAATACTCATAGCTAAGCCATTAATAAACAAGAGCTACAATATAATTAGGTTAGATGTCTTTATGGCAACAGTCCTCCCCAAAAATAAAACAACAGCCAGAAAAAAAGTCTCTAGGGCAGTGTCAGTGCTGTAGAAATTGGGCTTTAAAATGAGGAGGGAGCTCCAAAAGATCCTGGTTGTAAGTGCTAAATTGTAGTGGTTGTAACTTTTGAAATATTGTCCGGAGTCCTGAAAAGTTTCCTTGCAGGAAAGGTGCTGGTCTGTGGAAACACCTCCCCTTAGCACATCACCTACGGTCCTCAGCTTCTCTGAGGGTGTTCGGCGGTGCCCGCACACTGCTACAGTTAGACTCGCTGGTCTGTGAAAAGCGGAAGGCTGAACTTCCAATGGCTTCACCTGAACTCACTTGTATTGCCAGACAAGCTTACCAAAAACATAGAATAAAGGCCTAGTAAGGGACATAAAGTTTCTGATTATAGTTGTGGAAATCTTTATCTTTTCTTAGCCTGAAATATAAAACTCATTCCTGGATTACAGTTAAGGAGACGCTGTTGTTGCTACCTGCTTAACACTCATCATCTAGAGCTGGACGTTCTCCCTGGGAGCAGCCCAGGGTCCCTGGGCCAGTCACTGTGGCCTCGCTTTACCTCAGCCATGCTGCTCTTTTTCTTAAATTTCCGCCTTCCTTTTAATATTCAAAAAGAATTTGGGGCTTAACTGAGGGCTTTTATTCATCAGTAGTTAAGATGCTCTAACTGTTCCCTTTCCTGACTTACCAGGAGACCCTTTATGTGTCTTAAAAGTCATTTATGTCTTAGTCATTTCTTTACATGACTTTAAAAGTCAAATCACATCTTTCACATTATGAAGACTTACTGTGCGACAGGTTTTGACTTCTCTTCTTTGGTATGATATCAGCTGTGAATGGAGCCCTTATATGATGGACTGCCACTAAGAAGGCCAGAAACTGCCTAGCCTGGGACAGCCTTCCTCTTCCCTCCAATCTGTTCTAAGCTCCTAATGGGAGCTCACAGGGACCCACCTGCTGTTTCCTGCTTACCCCCCTAGATAAAGAAGGAAAGAGGAGGAAATAATGGTTAGGAAAGAAAAATATGGTTAAAATTCAGGAGGCCAGTTTAAGGCAAATGGATGCAAGATCAATATGACTGCTTACATGAGAAGGAAAAAAACATGATTGAGTTGATTTTGCTGAATGCTATCTGACGGGGAATTGCCAGGGGCAGTTCAGATTTCATCCAGAAATATTGTTTAAAACAATCCACTCATGTTTCTAATTCCAAGCTTGATACACACTAAACTTTCCCGTCACATGATGTATCTTTTTGTAAAATTGGTAGTAAGAATGAAGTACTCCAAATACAGATTGTATTTTAATGCTCGTCAGTGACTTTTACAGACAAAATATGAAGAGAATCTTATCATCACAAACTATACCACTTTCTAATATAGATTTGGAATTTGGGCATTAAATGTATATTTTAAGATAATTAAATTTGTTTTTTTTTTTGTTTGTTTTTTAACTTACAGCCTTGCTGATGCATGGGAGGACGATATTGGAGTTCATCCTTTAACATTTCCATCAGAAACGTGTTTGGAATTACTGCTAATACTGGGTTTAAGTACCAGCTCTCTGCCACCTTCACTTCGTTGCATGAATTCTTTCCAGGTAAGGCATTGCTATTTTTTTTCAATGTAAAGGTGCTATTTCCAAAAAGGAGAGATCTCTGGATACTGATAAATACCTTTGAAATAAAGGCTTAACTTTAAGACTTGCTTGATTTTCCCTTAAAATATTGTAATGGAGGCTTTCTTTTAGTGGCTTTTTTTTTTTAAGTTGTATTTAATTTGGAATAAGTCAGGAGATGTCACTGGGTTTTTAAACAGAATATCTGTTTAAACTGTTTAAGTTAAATTATATGTTCAAATAAATATCCTCAAACTTCCATAGTTGAGCCTGAATACCTAGAGTCATTCAACTCCATTGAAATGCACTATTATATTAAAAAAGTCAAAAAAATCCTTAGCTGAGCTAAATATAAATATTCAGAGTGGTGAAAATCTTTTGAGTAACGGGACTAAATGTTCAAGCCACTATATAATTTCAGGAGCGAGTGAAGCATTCAGTTTGTGCAGAGGGTTCTGCTGCAAGTTGCTGCTGATGTTCTGATGTTCTTGCCAGTCACACAAATTCTTCCTCCTAAAATGCCAAATAAAACCACTGTTAATGTATAACGCTAAGCCAATCTGTGTGGTCTTGATCATGTTTCTGAACACTTTAGATTTCTACCAACAAAATAGACATCTATAATTCATCCTGATAAAACATAGCAGCTCAGCCTTTTTATGAGACTTTTGTCTCCCACATAGTTACTAAGTCAGCCAGTTATTGATAGAAATCTAAAGCCATCAGATGTTGGACAGAAAAAAATATCTAAATTTGTGTTTATTATTTGCAGCTATATGAGAATTGTCATTGTGGTAGAATTGAGTGTTGTTTAAAAAAAAAAAGTTTGTAGCAAGAGTTTATAACAATAAGCTGCCTCTATTTGTGCATGCCCCAAAATTGTAATCAAGGCAAGAGACTATTTAGTTTGTTTTTCACTAACATCTCTTAGGAATATAATCTTATTGTAGAATTTGGGGGAAGAAACACCATGATCATAAAATCAAACGATTGTAGTAGATGTACACTGTTGTTCACCTGCTGGAAACACAGCTAGATGTTAGAAAATGAATATGCAACTGCACTGCTGATGTCCTTTGTATCTTCTGAGCTTGAAAACAGGGGATCTGTGTCCTGTGAACTCCTTAGGTAAACACCAGGTGTCGATCACTTCAATCATTTCAAAGTTATGATAGCAGAGCCAGACTGCAAAACTGCAAGTTTCAAAAATTGTTTAATATAGCTCTTCATGCAATTAAATAATGTGTGCTTCTTATTAAGGAGTGACCATTTCAGTTGCCTAATGTAGGAGAACGTATTTGTTGTCCATTACATTGCTAATAATCTGTGGTGAAATCTTTCCCATGCACTTTGTGATAGGTTAAATAGCTGGGGCTACATGTTTTTTATTGTTTCCGCATGTAGCGAGCCTGAAGTTGTAGAGTTCTAATTCTTGCCTGAACAGAGATAGGAAGTGATAAATGCCTGTGAACTCATGCAGATGAGAGTCAATAAATTCAAGAAGCTTCTTCAGAGAACAGAAAATTTCACAGCTTTTTTCCCCCCATGTCAGAATCTTTATGACTGTACTTGAGTGCTGCTGGATCACGTTAGCTTCGTGATGCAACTTTGGGAAGAGAACCATTGTCTCAAATGTGAGCAGCGCTTGGCCTAGCCCAAGCACAAGTTGGTAGTAGCCGTATTTTCTGAATCCTCATTTGTTTCTTCTTGCCTCTGCCTTAACAGATCAGTCATACTCAGAGCTCAGTGGAACCACTGAGGGCTTAGTTTAAAGCAAGTGGAGTAGAAATGCTTTGCAGCGCTGTGGAGAATGTTTTCCAGTAGTGACCTGCTTGAATCTTAGTTTTCCTGTCTGTAGGGCAAGATATGACAGTGTCCAACTGCTGTAATCTTGATTAAGAAAATGATTTCACACTGAAGATGCTATTCATCACTTTAAGATGACTCCTAGTTACTGTTTTCAGAGCAACAAGCAAGGGAGTTTCACAGGTTTTGACAAGGCAGAGTTCTGAAACCCACTTTTACTGTGGATTTTTTCCCAATATGTGAAACGTTCCCACATTTCTACTTTTCTTACCAGACGGTCTATATTGGCCAGTGTTTGTCTTAGAGGGCAAATGTAGTCCAGGAAAGAATTATTTATTTGTGTAGCTTGTTTAGATCTAAGTTTTCAAACAAGGAAACCCATGAAGCAGGAACAAAAATTGCTTGGGCTCTTTACCAGTTCTTTACAATGTGCAGTCAGCTTTATCGGGAGGTTTTTGTTTGGTTTTGTTTTTTCTTGCTTGCTTCTTTGTACTGATATTCACCCTTTTGTACAGCAGATAATAAACTAGTATGTCCTACTTTTTCTGTGTTTTTCTTGGAAAAAGTTGACAAGATCTGCAGGGAACTTGAATGTTATTAAATTATGTTGCTACCTGAGCATAAGAGTTGTCTACATCCAAAATATTGGAGTATATTTTGAGCCAGGCAGTGAGTAATTAAAGGACAGCAAACAAAGACTGTGATACTTTGTGTGTCTTAAAGGATTCAATGGCAAAAATAGTTGCTCACTTGTTTGTGGTAGATCTGCAATGGTATAGCAAATTGCATTGATTTTTTTTTTAATGTACATTAAAATAATACTTGTATTTGAAAAGAACCGTAGAGTTTGCTCTTATACCCCTCGATGCAGTTTCAAGTGGCAATCATCTTCCACTGATGGGGGAAGAAAGATGGGGATTCTGCAGCTGAATGTGTGATTCAAAATGCTGCTGGAGTTAAAAGGGAAAGGACTGAAGAAAGTGACTGGAGTTGAGTACCTTCCTTAAATGTTTACTTTTGAACACATAGGATGGGGCTAGATACTTCCCAGCATGGCACTTTTTGTTTTCTGATAGAATATTTTAAGTTACATCATGTAAATGCTGCTATATCTGTAGGTAGTTATTTGAAAGTTGCAGCCTAACTCTTGAGATTGTATCAGTAAAACTTTAAAACACCCCCCCTTTTTTTCTTTAGTAGTTAGGGAGACAAAAATGATCTCACCTCTGTGTGTTTTGAGAATGTATTTTCCTTCCCTCTCTTATATTGCTGAAGACCCACATCTTCAGCTGGTGTACATATGCATTGGAATATATTTGGGATGTAAAAAGCATGCAAAGAAAATGTGCTTAGTTGCTAATCGTCTCAGTAATAAACTTGTTCTGCTTTGTGCTCTAGAAGTGCTCTCTGGGAGTCGCTTAACAGACTCCATATCTGTGCTGAAACATAAATTATGTTTATTTTCCAACAGTGTGCTACTGCTTAGTAACATAATATTTGAAATCACTTTTCATTCCGGTTTGACTGTGTGAAAATTTTTCCATACAGTTGACTTCCCTGGGGCAGTCTGGCAGAGAGGAGCTGCAGAAGACGCCTGTAACGTAGCTCTTTGCTGAGCTGAGGGGGCAGCTGCTCGGCACAACTGGTGGCTGAAATTCCCTTCCTTGTTAGAACCGACTGTTCCTTTGAGGTAGTTGGTGGACTTGGGCTCTTTGGTCTCATTTTGCCTGTGCCAGGACACTGGCATTTTTTTTTTGGTAGACTGTAGAGAAAGGCAGGTTGGCAAGTTGGTGTCTGGAAATTCGTGGGGACCAAAACGGGTGAGACGAAATCTTGCTGGCTTATGGCTGCTCTGGGGTTTACTGGAGAGCTTGGATTTACAGCCCTGACTTCCACCTTCCCACACCTGCAGTCCATCTCCCATACTAAGGAGGCCTAGGATCCAAGGATTGACTGAAGCACTTCATTTTTATCCTGGAGCAATGCAAAGAAGTCAGGTGGGAGAGAGGACCTGGATCCCAGAATTAATTCAAAGGTTTGAGAGTGTCCTAGCTCTGCTCTCAGCATGGCTTTGCCCCTCTCTGTTCAGCTCCTTTATACTGTGCGGAAAGCAGGATTACGTATCAGATTCTGAATCCATCTGGCTCTCCTCTCACATGAGCTGACAGCTCTGATCTTTAGGAATGGTTGGACTTGGCTTTGTCTATCATGTACAATATGCACATACATACACAGCATACACTGTACATATCTACAGGACGTATAATACTTGGGAGCACTTGGAGCTAGCTCCCACTTGAGTTACTCTGTACTTGATGGCTGAACTGCTCGGCTGCTATTTCTCAGCACAGAGCACGCTGGTGCTTAAGAGCTTCCAACACAAAACAGTTAACATGGGGAGATGCTTTAAAGTGACAAGTAATCTCTGCTGTGTTTTGCTAACCTTATCTTGTCTGCCTCTGAATTCAGGCACAGTGAACAGAATGTCTTGGATATTGAATTTTTATGAAGATGCACGGGGCTGTTCAGCATGTTTTCTGCTGGTGCTGTTAGTATAGGAAACCAAGCATTTTACTCCCAATATCAAACCTGTATTCATAAGGCTACAGTCTGTAACACTAGCTCTCAGAACTAAATAGATAATGTTTTTACTTTTGCAAGTAAATTGAAAGAAGATTGTGTTGCAAAAACTGTGGAGCAGTTTCAAAAAAATTTTTCTTTTTTTTTGAAATAGCTCTTGATATTCTTTGATGTCGTTCCCTCAACGCCCCCCCCAAAAAAACCCTTTTCCATAGTACAACCTACATGAAGTACAGAAAACTTACTAGAGTAGACAGATTTAGAGATGTCAAAAAGCCATTTGCTCAGAGAATAAAAGAATTAGTAAAAGCAATTGTCACTACAACTTAACGGCCCTAGAATGCAGGTAGCTTGCTGTCAGATTCAAAAGACTTGTGAAAGGCAAAATAAAAAGTTACTGCTTCTGTCAGGCTTACCCCTTGTCTGAGCTGAAATGTGCCTTGACATTGAGTGGTTGTGTGGTGTTAAGACTTACTTAAAAATAAAAATTTCAAAATTAAGTTAGCTTGAGATATGTTTCAGGAATTTAGGACAACTACAGTGCACCTGTGTCTTCTGACAGTTTTTCTTGAAGCAAGTAGCTGAGAAAAGTTCAG